ACCTCAGTGGCGTGCGGTGACATTTTTGGAAGGGGAAGCGGTTGTTTAAAAATACAGCAGGCCAGTAAGCACAGCGCCGCCGATGAAAATTTTTCGCGACGCATTCACCATTATGTCAAAATCTTGCTTTTTTACTCAGTACTAAGGATATTCGAGATTGAGATTTTTGAAGTGTTACTATTACTTTATTACCTAGTTTAGTTAGTACTAGAAGCTATAAAAAAACTTACCATTGAAAAGCTTCCTTGGTTTATTTAAACGTAAACATTTAACTGAAGTTTTTTTTATTTTCTCCAGCATTTTTCACACAGTTGACACAGCAGATGACATTAATTTATACTTAAGATCTATTCGCCTATCCTCAATGGATGCAAATTTGTCTATAATATCGTCGTAAAATTTTGGCTTTTCTGATAACTGTTTAACAAGCTGTTTTTCAATGTATATTAGGGATAAATTAGAGAGTCTCTCTTCACTTGTTTCGTATAAAACTTTTAATACGCTTTAAAGTTGAAAAACTTCGCTTAACTGACGCACTTGTGGCTGGGATGGATAGTACTAATTCACACAACTTGACGACTTCACAAAGGGACTTATTTAAAGCAGTTGTTATAAGAAAATTTAACACATTGATGGGTGTCTTTTTATCACTAATTTCAGTTGTTTCATAAACAACACTTAACTGGGACTTTAATGCTGGAATATCGAAAAAAATTCTATAATTTAATTTTAGCGAATTAAAAGCTTCCGATGGAAATTTTGATGAATCGTAGTTACTACTATTAAAATTGCACAATTCAACAAATTTTAATTCGTTAAAGTTTTGAAATCGAGAGTTCATTTGTTGTAAAATATTATCAAACATTTCGGCATTTCGCCGACATTATCAATTCTAATTCTCTTTCTTTCAGGTTCTAAGCCAATGTTTTGAGTCTAATTCCAAAAGTGTTCAAACTCATCTCGTTTTTTATTCATTTTATTTTTAAAATCATCAATTTGTTTAATGCAAAAGCCAATGTCATTTGACTTTGTCTGTAAAGTGTCGAATAAAATGTCAGTAAAAGGGAAAATCTCTGCAAAAATGTTGAACAAAAAATTGAAATCAAAGTTTTGTTTGAGCCAATGCAAATACCCTTTAGCAGCAGTAACAGTTTCAGCATCCCATGTTTCTTTATTATCCCAAAGTCTTGAAAAAAGTTTATTAAAGAATCACGGTATTGAAACACTGTTTGCACTAAACGTCCATTGTAGTTCCATCGTGTCGGAGTAACTTTTCGAAACCTTCTTTAAACGTGAACGTCCAAAGCGCGAATTCTTTTCGATGACTTTGAGAAGAAGGAAGCCAAACCACTAAATGTCGAAAAGAAAACTTTGCAATCTTCAATATTATCTATGTGCGATACAGTGAACGAAAATTGCATGGTTAAACTTCTCTTTCATTTTAGCTTGAAGGCCTCCTAATTGGCCAGCCATTACGGCAGCACCATCGTAGCTCTGGGCAACAAGCTTAGAACCACATTCTAAACTTGAACTAATGTCACAAACAATTTTAAACAATGCATCTGTAGTTCATTCGCTAGTGACGTCCAAAAATCCTAAGAATCGCCCTTGAGGAATGCCATCCAATACATATCGCACAACAATGGATAATTGACTTAAGTTTGCTACATCTGTGGTTTCTTTAAGCGCAATTGATACGAAAGGTGCTTTTTTAATTTCACTTTTAATGTGAATCATCACAACGTCGGCAGTGCATTTAATTAAATAATTTTGGATTCTGTTTGAGGTAGATACCTCGAAAAGTCGTCGAATCAATAAAATGATTTTTTAGGGTATCATCTTATTTTGCTAAAAAACTTAAAAGGTCCATGTAATTTCCTCGATTGGCGGATCCACTTGCTTCATTGTGACCACTAAAACTTAGTTCATGCTCTCCCAGGAAACAAGTTACATCTATTAATCGTTGTAAGACGTCCCTATTTTTTTACCCTTTCATTGTGAATTTTGTTGTTTATTTTTAAATGATTGTTCAAACTATGTTCAATGCGATAGGTCCCGAATGTTTTTTCTTTAATTGTAGCACTTATATGAGATTTGCTATTTACATGTCGGTTTACAGTTTTGTGAACTCAGTCTGTAATACCGACTGAGTTCCAATGTGTTTTTTCGACTATATTAAAAATTAGGCAAGGCCAGCAAAACAATTTCTACAAAGTTTTGCAGCCGGTTAACCATTCATACTGTTCATGAAAATTCCTAGTAAATTTCTTTGCTGATTTTTCTACTTTCGTCTCTAAATTGACAGGATCCTTTAGTCTTTTAGAATTAATAATGTCCGTTTTCTCTTCAAAATTTCTACTTGAAAATTATTCTTTCAATAAAGATCACATAATACAGACACAATTTACCACATAAGTATTGTTCACAGGCACAGTGCATGGTTCCTCCATTTTACAAAAAGAAAAACAACTACGAAAAACAAACCGAAATCTACCTAAAATCTAATATTTTTCTCACACGTCGATTCGCGGTGCGAATTGCAATATGCGTAAGGCGACGTAATAATCGCTGCCTCTCGACCGTATTTCACGTGCACAAACAGACTGACACTGTCGCGGTAAAGGGGTCAATAACACTAAGCGAAATCACTTGCAAGATGAACCGGCTATTTCAAGACGCGCTTCAGCCGACGGACTCGTGTGTACGTTTACACAGTTAATTTTCTCATGGGTGGTGCGTGCGTTTACACATTACACCAATGAATTGTTAGTACATTTACGAAGTTTACGTAATGTTTCACAGAAAATATAGTACCTAATTTAATATTAATTTCTATGCATTGTAAACTTAAAAATATTTATTTTTAAATTTCAAAGTGTAGGAAAGCGGTGCTTCCCCCGCTTCCATGGACCGCACGCCCCTGTTCTACATCCACCTTTATTTCTACTGCATTTTCAAATTTCTCATATTGTAATTTTTCGACTTCTATTATCTCCTCTCTTATGTATTCCTTTATTTCTTCTGATTTATCATTGATAAAGACTCTGATTTCTTTTTTTTCTTTCTTTTTTCTTCTATTTCTCTTATTGATTTATCCAGATTGCTTTATATCTTCTATATCTCCTTCTTTAGAATCTGTTTAATGTTTTTTGCTATTCTATTCATTTTGTGCATTATACATTCACTATCTTTCTTCATTTCTTTATTATCTTAGTGTCTATCTTTTTTTATTTTTTCATTATCTTTTTTCTTCATTATTTTCTTGTTATCCATTTTTCATATAGGTTCGTTCTTCTCTTGTAATCTATCTTTCTTCATTTCTAGCATCACCACAATAAAATTACTGGATCGTTTTCATATTTTTCATCAATTATTATTGTCCCCTTCTCCTGTACTTTCTTTTTAGTAAGTGTATTATTTACATTTTGCTTATCCATTTTCCCTTTTCCTATTTCTTCCATTTCTTTAGATTGTTTTTCTTTAAATCCAACTTTCTTTGCCTCTCTCTATTCTCGAGAAACATAATATCGTGAATTTTATATTAGAAAATCTTTGAAACATTTTTGCTTTTGCAGGCCCGGTTTTAAAATTTCCACGAATTTAAAAATTATTTTATCTTTAGATGTGTTTTGACTTATATCAATTTTTAGGGACAATTTAAACGAATATTTATGTACCAAGATGGCTACACGGCCATAACCATTGTCTTTGTTTTTTTTTTATTAAATTGTATTTTTTATGAATTTCACTAGAAGAATGTTTATTTTTCCATTAGTTAAATAGTACATTAAACTATTTTTATTTGATATAACAGACATAAGTATTATAAATTGTAAATATGGTCGTGGATTATTTAAATACCTATACTAAAATCGTTCTTATTTTCAATAATGTAATAGGTTTATTTGGGTTGGGTAGCAAAGATTGGGAAGGTCCAAATAAAAAAAGGAAACAGGTTGAACGACTGTATCGTGTATGAGGATTTAGCATATAAATACTGGGTTGAGATACGGTGACAACATTGCTTTTTGGGTTGGGTGTATTTAATTGTAATATAACAAACTTTTTATTAAAATTAGGAAGAGAGGGGAAATCTTGTCTATTAGGTACTAAAAATAGCAGACCAATTGTTATTTTTGTAATGTATAAAGTAAACCATTTTATCACATTTGCGATTTATGTTCTTAACTTCATCACATTATATACAATTACCCTAATAATACAGGGTGTTTCAAAAAACATGTAACATCGCTCGTTACCCAAAAATAAGAAAAATAGTTTCTATCAACAAAGATAAGCAAATGCTTTGTTTCAATTTTTATTTTTTTCCTGTTTTTTCAAAATATTTTCAAAACAGCTTTAACGGTTTGAATTAAATTTTGGTTTTTAAATGTACTTCTCTAAAATAGCACATAAAGCAGTTTCGGAAATATTATGAAAAAGCGAAAAAAAATGGAAAATTTTAACACCAGCTTTGAAAAGAAGCATCCGCGTCTTATTTTTAGGTAAGGAATCACTTCACGAGCCGTGACACACGTTTCTTTTAAAACACCCTGTATATTTTACAATATAATTAATAATCTCAAATTTTAAAAATATCAGTTAAAAAGTATTAAAGCAAATGTCGAAGACAGTAATAGAGTAATTCATGATCTACTGAATACAACTCTTGGTATCGCGACTATAGATATTTGTATAAGTTAATTCTTATGCGATTATCGTTAGTTGAATGATATTAAAGAGAAAGTGTAATATCACTAATAATAAACAAATATATGTTTAAATTATTTTCCAATTTTAATTTTTTTCGTTTAAGATTAGTCTAATTCCCTTCTCTCAATTATTTTATTTATTATTTTAATAAGAAAAAGTATTAAATTTTAATTTAAATCACAGAATCCTAGGATTAAATAATAATATTCATGCGTATTTATAACCGTCAATATTATTATAATTATTTAAAACTGTACATTTTAATAACTATCGAAAAACGTACTTACGTTATGTGTGCTAGTATGTCACTATAATTCAAAATTCAAATTAGAGCTCACCGCCGAAACGTGCACTTTTCTGGACTGAAGGAATCGACAGTATCAAAACAAAGTTTCGGTGATGTCTAGGTCGCTGATTGACAAGAAGGTCGCGATGCCGATTTAATTTGATCGAAGCAAAGACCGCGAGCCGTAAGAATGGCATATATTTGTGAAGTGAAACGCCAAATCATAGGCAGCGCAATAAACAGTGTTTTGTATTTTCTATCTCGATCGGAAGTTTGAATACCTATCTTTAAATCAAAGTAAGAAATTTTAAATTAAAGGAAATTTCAACAATCACAATTCTGGTATTAATAGCAAAGTTACTTCACTCTTTAGTTTCTAATCATAATAAACAGCTAACTACTTAAAAAAGATATTTATCCCTTCATTCTGTTTGATTTATTATTTACAAAATACTATTACTATTTTGAAATGCAGAAAACTAGTATCTGTAAAACTGGCCGACACCCGTTTGGCTGGCACACAATTGTCCGATAGGACAATTTACCGCTAGGACAATTTACCGCTAGGACAATTTACCGACAGGACAATTTACCGATAGGACAATTTATCGACAGGACAATTTGTGTGTGTGAGAGAGATAATGGCATTAGACTAAGTCTGTTTGCCACAAAATGAGGAATATATATATATATATATATATATATATATATATATATATATATATATATATATATATATATATACAAAAACTTTATTAAAATAATTGGTAAAACCGTATTATATTAGTAGATAGGACAATTTACCGACATACCAATTTATCTACAGGACAATTGAGCGACATGCCAATTGACCAACACCGGTGTGAACTTAGATAAGTGGAACAATACTTATCTTTAAAAAAAAAATTAATGAAGCATTAAATACAACACCCTATAGACATATAATTTTCGATATCTTAAATATATCAAATAATGGATATGTTAAACATCTATAGAATATATCCATTGGTTACTTATGAACCTCTACTAAAGGTACCTATTAGATATTTTGCTGGAAATCCATATCTTCTATATCCTGGATATAGACGGACATTTGGATATCCATATTAGATCCAGCAGATATCTATGATATCCTGTGGATATATTGGATATCCACAAAAGATATTCTGTGGATCTCTGGGATCTCGTGTATTATCTGGGAGATACCCATTAGATATTTTGCTGGATATCCATAGGATATCTTCTATATCCTGGACATAGACGGACATTTGGATATCCATATTAGATCCACGGGATATTTATGGTATCCTATGGATATATTGGATATCCACAAAAGATATTTTGTGGATATCTCTGGGATTTGGTGTGTTGTCTGGGTAATCATTTAATCATGTGTGGTATAGGCATGTTTTTAAATTTAATTTTCTTAAAAGTTTTGACAAATTTGACACAAACGTTCACTTTTCATTTCAAGATAAAAATGTCATTCTGTGGAGGTGGCTAAAGTACCAATTCAAAATACTTAAATTTTATGATTTTTCTAGATGGCTTGTTATATTCATTTGTATAATTCTCAATTTCAACAGAACAAATTAAATCTGTTTTATTTAAAAAAATTGTTAATGATCAGTATCTGCAGTTAAACAGTGTCGACTGCAGTTAGTACTTCGATGGGTGGCCGCTGGTGAAGAAAAGTAGTCGGTAGCGCCCAACAACTATAACGTAGTGTCATTAAAGGTCGCTACTTTTATGCAAACATGGCTCAGCTCGAAATAATATCTTTTCTTAGTGTCACAAGTAGATCAGCGACGTTCGTTCTGTAATACTACTTCGAAAAGTCACCGCGAGATGGCGCCACCTGCCTAGAAATTTCCATGAATTTCTATGAATTTCTATGAATTTCTATGAATTTCTATGAATTTCTATGAATTTCTATGAATTTCTATGAATTTCTATGAATTTCTATGAATTTCTATGAATTTCTATGAATTTCTATGAATTTCTATGAATTTCTATGAATTTCTATGAATTTCTATGAATTTCTATGAATTTCTATGAATTTCTATGAATTTCTATGAATTTCTATGAATTTCTATGAATTTCTATGAATTTCTATGAATTTCTATGAATTTCTATGAATTTCTATGAATTTCTATGAATTTCTATGAATTTCTATGAATTTCTATGAATTTCTATGAATTTCTATGAATTTCTATGAATTTCTATGAATTTCTATGAATTTCTATGAATTTCTATGAATTTCTATGAATTTCTATGAATTTCTATGAATTTCTATGAATTTCTATGAATTTCTATGAATTTCTATGAATTTCTATGAATTTCTATGAATTTCTATGAATTTCTATGAATTTCTATGAATTTCTATGAATTTCTATGAATTTCTATGAATTTCTATGAATTTCTATGAATTTCTATGAATTTCTATGAATTTCTATGAATTTCTATGAATTTCTATGAATTTCTATAAATTTCTATGAATTTCTATGAATTTCTATGAATTTCTATGAATTTCTATGAATTTCTATGAATTTCTATGAATTTCTATGAATTTCTATGAATTTCTATGAATTTCTATGAATTTCTATGAATTTCTATGAATTTCTATGAATTTCTATGAATTTCTATGAATTTCTATGAATTTCTATGATATAACCGAAATTCTGACAGATTATATTTGTTCTACTTCACATAAAAATATGCAGCTTCACATATAAATCTGTGTATTATTGATAATTGAAAAGTTATTTGATCCTAATAACCTCTAAACTGTTTTTTATTGTAGATTTTATTTAGTGGTTCGTAGAAAAAATATACTGTACAACTCGAGCAAATTGTCCGTATCGCCTCTACTTATGTTGTCATGGTTCGTTCAATTTTCCTCTTTGAGCAATATGGCTACCATGTCAACTCTAGTTGGACAAACTACTATTAAATGTTAAGTTAAATATCTTACTTTATATCGACTAGGTAGGAAAACCATTTTTATTAAATTGGCCTGTCGTAGTTAAAAGGGGTAGAAAGAATCAGGAAAATAAACTTACCCACATTAAATATAAAAATATCTATTGTCTAAAGTCAATAATGTAATACTAAATAAAGCAAGAAACACAAAATATATAACAAATACAAAATAAATTATTAAAATTATAATTTTTCTTCAGGCTTGAGTTGCACCAGTTTTTCGCTTTCTTCCCAAATATCATCACAGAATTTTTTGTTCCAAACTCCAGGAGGTTGAGGAAACACTCTACAATCCCAGAAGTGTTTTCCGGTGATACCTTTTACGCTGTTAGCTACAGCTAGTTGAATACTAGTTTGAGCTCCTTGTTCAACACTCTAAAATTAAGAAAAGGTAATAATAGTATTTTATTCAACGAGCATATAATGATAGCTATTATTTATGAGTATAAAGTTTACGACATGAGCCGTAAGCGAGTTTTGTATATCATTTTACTTAATAATAACCATTATATGAGAGTAAAATGTAGAATATGTTTAATAGACATTATTTTATCTACTACTTATTTTTTTTATAGTAATATTTAAGCAATTTCTCAAATAATTGCAGGAATGCAATGGGTTTTTTCTTTTAATAAAATTATTACCTATAAAGTTTTTATTAATAAAAAAATCCTAAAAAGTTAAAAAATTATTGAATCCTTTACTCCGGTCCCTGTCCACAATTTTTGTTCAAACAATACCTATTAAATGTCAAATCCGTATCAAAATAACCTGTATAAAATTCAGGACACTTTTTAAAACAAAAAACTAATTTTTTTTTAACACTTATACATCTTGAGAGCAACTTTTCTTATTAGTTTAAACACCGATTTTCCTTAGAGTCACGTGACTTTGCAAATATCTATACACAATAGTGAATCTGCTAAAGAGCTAAAACCCACTTTGTAGGTCTCAATTTTTCCTGATTGCAATTTCTGGAGAAAAAATAGTTTAAAAAAACTTAATACAGTCTTAACTGCTTGCAAAAACACAATTATTATAATAATTAGTAAAATACTTAAAAATAAGCCATAAAAATAATACCTTTCCATAAATAAACAAGAAGAAATATCTAAGTAGTCTTGGTATGGTTTTAAGGCCAACATATCTGGCAGATTTTCTGAAAATTTCGGCATTCACTAATCCAGGATGTAATGAGTTACTAGTTACTTCAAAATCTTTTAGTTTCTCAGCAAATCCATTAGCAGAAATAATATTGGCCAGTTTGGAGTTGGAGTAAATTAGAGCGGTGCGGAATAAGGACTCTGGATTGTCCTTGGAATAATTAAAATTTTCAAGAGTTAAATGGTTGCAGTAAGCTAAAGCTGAGCTGACGAAGATGATGCGACTTGGTGCTGATTTTTTCAATAAATCTGGAAAAAAAAATTGTGTTCATATTTTAGAAATCAGTTTAAATATACGAGGATGAGATAAAAAGTTTCCGGCCTAACCTATAGTAGGCCAGATTTGCTTTCCGGTTCCAACGTGTCTATGTAGCAGGGTTGCCAATCGTACGGTAATTACCGTACTTGTACGGTAATTTCAATTAATGTACGATATATGGTCCAAAGTCATTACCGTACATAAAAGTACGGTATTTACATAAAAAGTACGGTATACGTACGGTATTTTCAACAGAATTAGCAAAGACTGAGTTGTGCAAGAAGGACCGACTCTATTAAATTACCTAATAAAGATTAGAATGACATTGTCCAATGTAAAAATGCAGCAGATGTTCTTAAAAACTTCAAAAGGACCTAGTCTGTACAAAAATATAAGCTAATAAGGCCTTTTTTTAGAAGCTAGGTAAAAGGACCAGACGATGATTAAAAAATAATATGATGAGGACTTTTTTTTTTTTTTTTTTTTTTTAGAAACACGACACGAAGAGTTACACAATATAGTTTTTTTTACAAAATAAAAGTGTACGGTACTGGCAGGCCATGTACGGTAATTTGAATTGCGCGGTACGGTAAATGGAATTTGAAAAGTTGGCAACCCTGCTATGTAGCCTTGCTTGTCGTCAGTATACGCTCGAAGTTTAAA